GATAAGATGTCTGATGTGTAGAATCGAGTCAAGCCAGACAAACAAGCTTTCCTACGAAAATAATCCATTTCGAACATTTTCACCTAGCTTGAACTGATCTTTTAACTGCATTTGACAAAACAGCATGGATCATCAAAAAGTATGTAAATGCCTAGTTTATCAATTGTCGCACAAAAAAAGCAGTCGAGCCCTTCAAAGTGGGAGCGCCGTGGTCGAGTAGTTGGAGCCCTCAGCTCCCACGTGCGGGTCTCGAACTACGCTCTCGGCTGGGGACTGCCCAGGAGAGCCAGTGCGGACACTGCCGTCGCTGATGCTCCATAACAAGGTCCACAACGCCAAGTGTCGCCTTCCCTTCAAAAAAGGATCAAGAACGTTTCAAAACTCTCGCCCTGCGTCCGGGAAAACGGAGCAGCTTGCTTTAGCCTGAAGCATTGCCTGTGGGATATAAATAGCTTTGTCCTAACTTGTGCGCCTGAACCCTTTCATCATGACTGCAAGTTGTGCAGGAGTGGCACATTCCAACGTTGTTGACAAGCTCCTAAGGTCCTGAGGCGTTTGACCTAAACGCCAGCGACGTTCTTGAAAGCGTGCAAAAACGCTCGAGCCCTGCCTTTGTATGTAAAGATGGGATGCCCAGCGCATGCTTAGCAACTTTCAGTCCAGGGTGAGTGCATTGTCGAGGTGAAGCCATGATCAATACCCCTCCCCCTTCCAAGTGTATATAAAAACCCAGCCGAGGCTTGCTTTTTTCGGCAGGACAACGTTTCGTGCGCATTCCTACTGGCGTGACTTTTTCATCTAAATTGCACGGAATTATTTGTTTTCGTCCGGCGGATGACGTCGCACATATTTTCCGCTTGATATCTTCAAACAGCGAGCTTGGCCGGCACGCCATCACCATATTGCGTTTTGCAAGCTGAATGCAGTGTGCCGGCGAAATGACGACTCTTAAAACAGACTGGTGAGAACGGATACAGACTGGTGCGATCTGGTGCGGGCTGTCATAGACTGACGCGAGACAGTGCGGACGATGCTGTTGGAGGCCCGTGGAGAACGGTGCGGACTGACATGGCCTGACATCAACAGGAGAAAGCAGCTTCAGTCTGACGCAGACTGACGCTGCCAGATGCCGCCTGACGTGGACTGACGCCGGCCGATGTCGACCGCTGCGGGCTGCGGCGCTCTGATGCGCACTGACGCGGGCCCGCGCACTCTAACGCGAACTGTCGCGTTAGAGTGCGAGTGCTAGAGTTCTCTCGCGGTCTGGAGTGCACACAGCACCGCAAACGGGCCGGCTGTGCGCGTGACCGCGAGCCTGTCACTTGCCCGTGTGATGGCCTGATCACCGAGCCGGCTCTGGTCGCTAATCGCGGGCGGACGTGGCGGCCGATCGGCAGGGCACGCGGCGGCTGATCGGCGCCGAGACGCGACGGCACGCGCCGCCCGCCGCCCTCATGGTTAATGGAGCCGCGCTGCGGTATCTCGGCGCCGCTGGGCACGCGCCGGTGCCGAGACAGCCGAACAATGGACCTGCGGCGGGAGCTGCCGCCGCCGGGGAGGGGAGGGCGCTGCTGCAGGAGCTCGCCCAGGAGGGTGGGATGCGGGGGTCATGACTTGCCCGCTGCCCCCGTGGCAACGGCTGAACGCAGGGAGGGCCGGGGGAGGGGCCAGTGCGGTTGATAATGAAAGGTCGTGTTCATCGAAGTGGGTGAGATTTACCTCGCGCATTGTGCTGCCTGCTTCGTGCGGGACACTCGTGATCTAAAGACGGCAGTAATGTTGGAAATGTTTACCTTGTGCCCCGGGTTTTGCAGAAGACTCCTTGTTGGAATTCAACGTACGCTACTCGAGCTCGGCGATGTATAGGCCAAAAACAAAAAAACAAAACAAAGCAAAAAAACAACTGCGAACTGGGACCAAAATCATCTCCAGATTCTAACCTCCTTAAAATTAATTTGATGACATCGTACTGAGCGGAATAATGTCACCTTTAATACATATTGAGAAGACGCATGCGTTATTTGAGGGGTAATTTTTATTTCATCTGACGTAGTGCCTGTAAAGCGTACTCTGCACCTCGCATGTGAACTTATCGGCTCCGGGAACGCCATCCGAATCGGCCAGTGCACGTTATAAATAGAGACCGGTTGTGTAACATAGGAGCAGCCAAGGACACAGCAGCTGTATCAAGAGCTGACTAGAGCTCTCAGTGATGTAAACAGCTCACCATTTTTAAAACTCCGATTGTCTGCGTTGCATTCTGCAGGATGAGGTGCAAGTCGTTACTGAATAGTAAGCAGTCGAGGAATTGTGCGATGCTGCGCTCCGTTCCCGACCAATGTTGCAAGCCAGATAACGCGTCCCAGCAAGGTGTTGGCTGTGTCATCTTGGATTCCCAACTTATATTGAATAAGAAGTGCGTCCGCGATATTTTTTATAAGAGCCGCTCAAAACAAATAAGTCAGGTTAAATTCCATTTCGTAGGGCATCATCATCAAAAAAGGGTGCAAACGTAGAACTTCTTCAAAATCTCACGATTTGTGTCCGCGGCCTGGCGGTGTGATACTTTTCCAGGTTACATAGCACTAAAGTGCTGTTCTGTCTGCTGAGCGGGTCTGCGAAATTGACGCGATGAAGCAATGAATTTGATTTCAGATCGCTCATCAGCCAGATCACTCAGATATACAGTTTAAATGAAAAAGCATTGGCGAAATATAAGTGTTGAACTCTAAACATACGTCGTGTCTACGTCTTCTGGGGAGCTTTGAACATGTGCACTCGCTGGAAGGATATTTCTACATGCGTGACTTCACCATCGGCTACAACGATTACCCGTGCTTTGACAGGTTTCCTTACGCGTCCGTTCCGCAATCGCTCCTGCGGTAGTAGCGGCACTCCCAAAACACTGCGGCACTCACGGCGTGCTGAGCGCCGGATGTGCGTGAGATGTGGGGATGTTTTGCACCAGCCCTGGCACGCTACCCGTGGAATCGGTTAATTAACTGGTGACTGGACACGCGCGCGAGGACATCGACGTCCTAGAGACTAGCGGTTTGTAAAATTGGGCAAATTCTAAGGTTGCCGTGAGGGCTAATGTGTTGGAGAAATCCAATTATCCTTGGCTCGGGCCTGGCCAACAAAACAATCGCGGAAAGTGGTCAGAACAGACCGTTTAAGCGTCTTTCCTTCAAGCTTAAACGTCGCGAGCTTAGGCGCCTTAGAAGACGGTTACGCAAGTACAAACTCGCCGCAAGCTCCGCGTGGCATTCACTACATTGTTGAGGTTTTAGACTGCTGAGCATCACTGAGCAGCCTTGTTAGCCCGTGGAGTAGTTAATCAGCTACGGCGGCGCCTGAGATGCCAGGCCACAAGACCGCTCTCAGCTCAGTCCGACGTCTGAGCCGGCCAGGTTAAGGCAAGCAGGCTTTTCGACCGCCTCTCTGGTCAAGGGCTGCAGAGGTGTAGCAGGGCGGTGTGGCTGCACAGCAGTTTGGTAGTAATCCAAATTAAAAAAGACAGCCCGGTGCGAAAGGCTGTGAGGTCGTCGTTGCCTGCAGAGAAAAATCAATGGCACAAACGGATTTGATGCTGTTCACCCAAAAGTGGACTTGATGGCCGAAGGGCTGATAGATGCCGTGGGTTTACCAGCGAGAGTGGCTCCACATCGCGCAGACTTAAGCGGGCCAATCGAAGTGCACAGTTACGGTGGTTCGAAGTAGAATATTCAGTGATAGACGCAGCTCGGCCGTGTGATGTCGGTTGCCACACTCGGACCGCCCCGAGCACGCCGCCGTCCCCTGACGAGTGCAGCGCCCGCCATGCTGGAGAGACCCGATTTGCCATGGTAATTGGGCGGATTGCTATCGTGTACCGGTTCCCGGCGTCTGACCCGGACCGTCCCTGGCCTACCCGGCTCGGGCGGCACGTTCGGCACCGGCCTGACCGCGGCCGGCAGCCCCCTCTGTGCATCGGGGCTCGGTGAAAGTGACACGGCGAACCCCGTGTGTTGTTGGGACGCTCAGGCCCAGGCTCAGGACGCCCCATCCCCGAGGTGTTGTCGCGCAGCGTTTGGTCAGAGACGTTTTCTGGTGATCAAACATGACAAATTTTCTTCTCCCATGTTCTATATGATATGGCTCCGAGACGTCGCAAGGAGACATGATGCGCGTGGTTACGTGCCATGTGACGTGATGACGAAACATGCATACAAAACACATGAAGTGTTGAAACAGGATAGAATACACTCCGATGGAAATGGTAACACCTCCAATCACGAAAAGCTAATGTAACGGTGTTTCCAGTGCAAATGTGCTGGAAAAACAGCAGTGCTTTATCCGCGGTAGTTTTTCGCTGGAGCTTTTGCGCCAAGACTATGGAAGGGATTAAATGGATAGATTTAAGCCTGGTGGATGTCCTCCAGGCCCCTAGTGAAAAGGTTACGAGAAAGCAATAGAGCTAGACGCAACCCATACTGAGGGGGCCAATTAAAGACAAATAGTATCTTAACCTTTAAGGATCTCAATAAGATCATATGCATTCACATCTTACTCAGGTCCTGTAACTCAGGTGAGCAACGGGCCCAACATGCCAGATAGATATACCGACCGATAGATATATACCAGTAAACAAACGAATCTCCTCAAAGGGAAACGAAGACTGATGCTTTCCACCATCTCCAGACCTGATCCCATGCTGAGTTTTTATTCTCAGCGTGAGCTCTGAACAACTCCGACTCACATTCCCTCGTCACGATCATCAGTCAAAGCACATCCAACTACGGCTATCGAGACCAGGAGATGCTGCGACACCTGCCCAGAGGCTCAGAGACGGTAGCCGCTGGCTCTCGGCCGCGGTCTCCGGTGCTCGGAGCAGATGCCGCCGCCTCCCCGATCCCTGCGGCCACGTCGCTCGCTGCCCTGCGGCCGCCGTCCCCAGCACCTGGGAAACCTCACCGCACGCACACCGCCGGGAAGACCCGGGCCGCGTGCCGTCGTCTCACCTGCGCGGCGCCGGCGGGCTCGCGCCCGGCAGCCGACGTCACCAGCACGCCCGGCATGGTGCCGGTGATGGTGACGTCGCGGCTGGCGTAGTACTCGGCCGTCGTCTCGTCCACCACCAGCAGGCTGACGCGCTCCGGGTCGGCCTTGATGCCGTCCACCACCTGCGTGTGGCCCCAGCCGGCGATCGCGGCGCCGTTCACCTCCAGGATGCGGTCGCCCTCGCGCAGGCCACACGCCTCGGCCGGCGAGCCGGCGTCCACGATACCGATGTGCTGGCCGGGCCGCGCCTTCTCCGTGTGCAGGCTGAAGCCGTAGCCCTGGAAGCTGGACCATTTGACGAGGCGGCAGAGGCGCGGCGCCGGCGCCTCCTCCGCGGCGGGGCTGACGGACGTCATGCTCGTGTCACCGGCGGCGCGTCGGACACGGGACTGGGACGGCGACGGCCGGTCGGCGGGACGCGACGCTGGCGCCGCCCGGCGGCTGGGGGGCGAGGCAGCGGACAAGCACGTGAGGCGGCGAAATGGTGACGGGTTTGTCAGCCAGGCTTCGCTCTCTTTGAGATCACAGAGGACAGAAGCTAGGGCTTGCTACTGGAGTCTGTTGCGTGCCAGGATTTACGTGTTGAAATTTATGTATTCTAGTTCGATTGATTTCATTTTCGGTATAGTTATAGTACCGTCGCTAGGTCTCGCAAAACGCACTATCACAGAGCCCCGTTAAGGTGCACAAGACGTCGCATATGTCAAATGTACCAGTACACCGGTCGCAGATGACGGCAGGAGTTGTCTCAGTCTGCAGATGTGTGTGGTCTCGCAGAATGAGGTCTCCAGTTCGTCCCGTCCCGCCATCAGATGGCTGGCACACAAAAAATGAGCCCGTCACCATTTCTGAGTAGTGGCATTTGGACAACAGCTGGGGACTTTGGCTTGACGGCGTCCATTCCGTAAAAGGCATATTTCCCGTTCCCTTAAAAGGCTTGTTCTAAATACAGTGCCGCCAGTATTACCACACAACGAGCCGGGTTGCCAAGGTCACCACAAAAACCCTTGACCAACCTTAGGCTGGAGCGCATTTCCAGCAGCGACCTGTTACCACCATGTTTGCAGTCCGGCTCTAGCGTGCATTGTCACGTAGAGATGCTGTTGGATGCCTTAGTTCACCTGCCTTGATCCCTGGCCTTTCTTTGAAGTGTCTAGACAACTTTTTATTGGCCTGCGTTGAAGCACCGCTGGGACCTCGGCCTTCGCATGACGCTGCGCTCCTTTGGCCTCACCTTGACACCCTACCTCTGCTCTGGCGGTAAAAAACTCGTCCATCTGAGTCCTAACATATTTGTCATCTTCTCCTAGTTCTGACAGAAGGATGCAAGCAGCTGGTGCGGTGAGCAACACATGGCCCAAACCGCTACCGTTACAGACCGGTGTGAAAAGTCTAAATAAGGTGGACAAAACAGCGACCGAGCTGGGCCACACTGCACCAGGTGTCACCTGATTTGCGTGTAAGGCAAAAACGGCTTCAGGGATATGCAATATCAGGTCGCTGCACTTCCTGCATAGGTGCGTGGTACTACGTGGTACGAGGTAATAGGTACCCCCGCGTATCGTAATGTGGTAAGCTCATCTGATTACCATTGCCCTTTTCACGGTGATTTTATTAGGGACAGAAACCTACTTCGATGCCAAATAAGATGTGCTCAAAAAGGCTAAGTAGGGACGAAACACATCGCGTACCGTCAGTTCTATCAATATAGCCGGCACGTGGTGCTTCGCGTGCGTTTTTGTTTCATCACGTACCTTTTCATCATTTTACGCCTGAGAACTTGGTACCATGAGACCAAATCATAAGGTACGGTACACGTGAAGTGACAAAAAGTGCATAATGACGAAGTACAAACGCTTGTGCAGTAAAGTGGATCACCTATTTTGATAAACTCGACAACATTTGATGGGGTTACCTCTTGTTTTACTAGTGTTCGTGCTTTTCAGATTTGGCACAAAGGTGAGTATTATGCCAATGCTGACGTGAATGCTAGGGTGAAAAGGGCTATTGTATACCATATGCCCTATCCTACACCTCACCGCTCATCACTACCGCACGCAGGCACTATAACTCATCCTATTTTTCGCCTGATTAGTGCGCGTCGTGTCACAGTTACCCCATAGACCGGCCTGCAAACAGCGAGTGCACGGGCCGTGTCTATATACAGATCTCGACTTATCTATTTGTCAGGGCCATTAGGCAGATTACACTGTCGATTGGTCCCGCGCTTGGCGCCAGATGTCACGCAAGCCCAGCCTCGCCCAAAACACCAGCGGCTGGAATATGGCGTGAAATATACAGTTACATACACGTATATGTGCATGATTATATATATATATATATATATTCATCTATCGAGTTCCTCTTCACTCTGGATACGAGCGTTGCCAAAGTGGCTGTCATCAGTGGGTTTGCGGTAGTAGCCTGTCAGCATATATATATATATATATATATATATATATATATATATATATATATTCATCTATCGAGTTCCTCTTCACTCTGGATACGAGCGTTGCCAAAGTGGCTGTCATCAATGGGTTTGCGGTAGTAGCCTGTCAGCAATGTTGTTGTCTCCTGTGTTCGTAGCACCGAGACCCGTCGCTTCGTTGCTGTACCAAACGCTTGGCACTGGCTGATGCGCCGAGGTACGCGCGCAGCCATCATTTCTGGGTCTGTATGCAGCCGTCATTGCGGCAGAACAGAGACGTCGCAACGGGGATATTTCCTTTCCACTTGCGGAAATGTTTGACACCACCCTTTCGGTAAAGCACCACTGAAAGTACATTTACCCCTCTTCTCACAAATTAAGTCATCGCTGATATATATATATATATATATATATATATATATATACATATATATATATATATATATATATATACCTATAATTGCTCACTCTGCCGCGAAGGATTTTTCTTATATATTTTCTTATACTTAGAAACCGTAAGCGTTATAGGTACCACACATTCAGAAGCGTGGGTGAGAAGCGGCGTTTCATGCAGTCAGCAAGCCCGGGAAAGCCACGCGCAATCAAACATCGGCATCTTATGATGTTCTCGCCTTGGAGACGCTTGGCGCACATCCATGCGCCGTCTCTCCTTGGCTTGGCTGTCAGATCCCAGTGGAAATGCCGCGGACCCCATTTGTATGGTTGGTGATATCTCAGAAGAACCTTCAAAACTATTCCTACAGAATTCGTTCGACCGTGGACCCAAGAAGCCGTGGGTATGACTCAATGTAAGTACTGGATTTTTACCTGCTTACAAGTCACCCGAGGAGGGAGGGGGGGGGGGGGGTGGTTGACAGTGAACCCAATATTCGTAACACTGCAGTTGAGCGCACCATACTGTAATGGAACGATTCTGCCAAACATTTTGTACCAGCTGCGCAGGCGGCATGTTTCCCTAGTGACCTGGTACCACTTGAAAATCTGTACTTTGCTGGCATCGAAACATGTTTCACACAATAAACCATAAAAGTGCATTTCTTTGATTGTTGTGTATGTAGATGTAGATGGACCACGTTCAAATTGGCCTTCCCATTTATCAATTCACCGGCGGAAATTCTGCGCGCGCGGCGGCGCTCGACGACCAAGGTCGGCGCGAGAGCTAATAAATAATGACTGATGTTGGGCAGCCGTCATCTGATATGGCTTCTAACGTCACGGGACCTTGCAAAATGTGTGCTTCCATCATGGCAGATAAAACCTGGATGCCCGAACGGAGCTAGACTGAAGCAGACGTAGCCATGAAATGAAGTGGAATGCACATGATCTGTTTCGGACTAGAACTTTGTAAGTAAGCCTGTTCAGCCAGCTTGTAAAGTGAGATATCTACAAACTACACACACAAGTATAAATCTGTTCGTGGTAAACAGCAGGGTCGTCTCAGATGAATCTTTGCATGGAACGGGAGTGACACAATGATAAGACATCCACGTTTGGCTATGTTAAAGGGATATTTGAAGATTTTGAAGCAAGCATCAGATATGATGAATTAGGCTCTCTTATTCATATGCATACTATTATTGTTGTACTTTTTAAGTGGAACGGACTGCTCTATACAAAACGATTTCATTGTTTTGTAAATATGCCCATCAATACATCATTGTTTGATCACTTGATCGTACATCATACAACATTTAAAAGTCCCCACGGATTAGTCTGCACATCTTCGCATGGGCGTAGCTCAGAAACTAGAGGGACTTGGACTTAAGAAGACCATGGCTGCGAACTGCAACGAATGATCTTCTAGATGGCTATTTTAGTTCAGAACTCCATAGAAATGTGGAAGACTACATTTTAAACCGCAGCAAGGCTAGATTGCTCGGTCTTCTTTTTCCTCAGCATGGAAGAAAACGTGGAGAGAAATCACCTAATACAACTGTCAGTAATGCCACAATAATACAAATACCATTATGCATTTGTTTCTCACTGTAGTAGTGCATCGTAGAGAAGGTAATGCGGCCTTGATAAATGACGAAATAATTTCGGTGAGAGCGGGGACAAACGCGATTTGCGTGTCGTATATGTCCATTCACCGCCATAGAGCTAACGCTAAATATTGCCGGAAGCCGGGAGGGGGAGGGGGGGGGGGGATAGCTCCCCTGCCCACGAATTCACCCCCCCCCCCCCCGCCACCTACAGGGATCCTGATGGGAAGTGCTATTATGGAATATGCCTGGTTACTGCACGACACGACTCAGCGCTAGCGCCACAGCGCCTTAGTGGTAAAAGGGATATGAGGATGCTTACTTAGTTCTCTTCGCTGACGAGGGTTGGCTAGGAATGGTCGTACGGTCTGGCACACGCGAGATGACAGGTGTGAATCTGCGGTGGGTTTAGTTATGAATACTCATGTTCAGATTATGTTACAGCTGATAGCCATTTCCGAAGGGAACTCCGGGGGAAAAGCTTTTGGTATCGTCGCGATAGTTTCGTGCCTTTTACGAAATTGCATTGTCGCATGTGTACGTTGGTTGAAAACTTTGGCTCGTTGTCACAGCTGATCGCCATTTTCGAAGGAAAATCCGGGGGAAAAGCTTCTTGTATCGTCGCCACAGTTTTGCGCCTCTTTTAATTTACTACCGATATTCCTTTCGATAACGGCACTAAGCCGGAATATCACAACTATCCCTCCATTCTCCTGATTGTTTTACGAGGAATAAGGCTATTAATGCTGCTCCATCTATATTGTCTAAGCTTTTGTTGATTACGCCCGAGACGTAATTTACTAGTAGATTTTCTTTTTGTTGGTATGACAAAATATGAGTGCTACGTGCTAACAAGTCGCGCCAAAACACTGAGGTATAACATGTGATGTTATTTGTCCACGTTATGACCATTCTCACTCGTGTGGTAGTGTGAAACTTTGCGTATGAGCTGAAGTGCAGGCATACAAACAGAAATTGCCCTGAGTGCAAACGGTCATTTGTTACGTAGTCGTGGGCGCAAAGGTTATAAGATGCCAGCACATAAGCTGGTCAACATCTGCACCAAACCTATTTGCAAGCCGTATTTTGTGGTAAGTGTTTCAGTTTGTCATTTGCCGTAAAAAGAGCCCAACTGGGAGCAGCCTAAAATGAGTCACAAATAGCCTGTTTGGAAACAAAACCATTCTAGCGCTGGACATTTTCCAAATGCGGTTGTACTGTCTTACACCGCAGGGCTGGTGGAGCCAGACGAGAACCTTGCAGCAGAACCAATTACTGAATGGAAAGATGGCGTTCCAAACGGGAGCGTCTTTTTTCCTTAACCGACGGCCAGGAGGCGCGCGTAATGCGTTTACGTGCACGCGGGAGACAAAATTCACTGCCCACTTAAAGTTCAACAAGAAAATCTACCCCTACGAAGAGGGTATACTAAACGGGTCACCCTGCCTTAGCTTCTACGGAGCTGCACTTTTTTGTTGCTGAGGAATTCACGGTAGTACGGCCTCTGCGAGGGAACAAGGTTGCCACAAGCGTGACGGGCGCACTTGGCACATGACGCCTGAGTTCCCCAAATTGACGTCAAGGCGAGGAGGAGCCCCAACATTTCTCGCTTAGTCGCCTTGATACGAGCATGTCTTACGGCCCAACTCACAGATTCTTCGAACCCCTCACCGTTATGATCACATTGATCTGATGCTGAGCGAGCGGCAAGAGCAAAGACAAGTAGCAATATCACCAAACCACGTTATTGATGCAGCGCCCACGCAATTACCGGCAGATTCCACCAAACATCCCACCCCCTCACAATTTCTTGGCGCTTTTCCGCCCTTGTCTGTCCCAGGCCAAACGTTGCCCCAGAATTCCCCAACACCGCACTAGCACCCTGCAGGGCCGAATCTCGCATTTCGCTCCCGCACCGTCCGATCGCCCCCCCCCCCCCCCCAGCCATCTCCCCCATATTGTGAGCATCCGTGCATCCGTGCACAGGCCGGGCCGCTGGCGAACTGGGCTGGATCCAGGCGGCGTGCCAGTCTGGACCAGTCGGTATCCTTTGGAGAGCCCACACCGCCGTCCAAACGCGGCTCTGGAGTGGCGCGCTGGGCGGCCGAAATTATATTACATCATGTTGTCTGGCATATGGGAGTAAATCGCCGATTTGGCCCAACGGCTGGCCAGCGTCCAGTTTTCTGCAGACACCATCGCGCTTAAGTGCCCTAGCAAGTTAATTCATAAGCTGGCTCGGGAGTATGGTAAACTAAAAGCCTTCGGCTAAGGCTTTCTGTTCAGTTGGAATGAGTCTGTTGGGTGTTCAAAAAGCGCCATGGGCTTTGCAGCACACTGTTCTCATCATGCCCTCGAGTCCCGAAGCCGGCCATGATGCACTGTTACGGAAGGCTGGAAGAGCCGGGTCCTGAGTGCTTAAGGAAGATGAGTTTTATAGCAAGGATCATTCACTCGTCTGGAGTGAGGATCAGAGTCCCTGCTAAGCACTGCTGGTGACGTGGGCAGTGGGCATCGACGACGGCAGCCGATAGGCCCGAAATTTAGGATAGCTTTGCCTCGGTCCGTTGGACATCAGTCACACAACGCTGGGGACGTCTTAACGTGCCATATGTAACCGTGGCACGACTGTCCGGCATTGCCGTAGTTTTCCACCCTTGCTCTAAAATGTGATTCCTTAGGTGGTAATCGAGTTCACAGAACCTGCCCCTCGCCTCATACCGAGACTGGCGCTCCAGCTCCCACGCCATGTATCGCAACGCATGGTGCAGTGGTGCCCTGTCTATGCATCGCTTTGATGTAATGTACGCGATATGGTTTTTCTATAAGCCAGAGTATCATCACAGGCACGCTTTGAAGATACTTTACCGCGCCAAAACATGTTCCAACAAAATGGATTACATGTCCGTGAAAAGGTAATACATACTTCACACAGTATTACGCTACAGCGATAGTTTGTATTTATACATGAGCGTTCACAGGTCAATCCATTTTGCTAAAAATCTCCAAGGTATGACAAGAATTACGCAACAAACACGCTTTCCATTAAGCACAACACATTCCCATCGCCAGATACTTTACTATAGTTGTATGGCCGTGCACTTGTATCCCTTCCATTTGCTGGAAACCAGAGCCGGGCTGGTGGAAAACAATAAGCTTTGGTACGTCAATAAGTCCTTTCACTGAACCCAAAGATGTTTGTAATCAAATGACTGCACATCTGCGAATACAGCGGGGGTTCCGCATTGCTACTCACATCAATATTCGCAGTTCAACCGGTTAGCATGCAAACTTCCCGCACTTTGGTGCACGCCAAATAGGGCCAAGATGAAATGGCATCGGTGAGCTCTGTTCACCCACTAAATGTCTGACAGTTCTATACCAGCTTGAATCATGTAAACTTGTCCTAACACGACAGCAGTAGCACGATAGCGCCACTTTTTCTATACTTTGTATTGCTGTAAACACTACGACGACGTACAAGACACGAATTCTTTTTTCATTAAAAACAACACTGCTGACGGACCGGGCCTGTCAAAAGTTTCAGTGACACAGTCTCCTGCGCACGGGGCGCGCCAAAACGTCCTGTCACTGAGTGTTAGCCATGCGCTGTCGTGCAGAGTCCAGCGCGGGAGCATATCGCGACACCGGTCCGGCAACACGGACCCGTCTGTCTAGATCGAGCACGCAACTCGCCGCGACGGTTATAACGGTCCGGGCGATGGAATGCCTGGGATGGCCATGAGCGTCTGACAATGGCGCGGGGCCGACGACGGGGCTGGGAGGGCAAGGACGTGCCTTTGGTATTCCACGGAAAGAAGCCTAGACGTCATGGAGGACTGTGCCCTCGCCGCTGGCGGGGCCCTCCTGTCAGACACGTCCGCCGAGAGTGCCCGCCTGAAGCCCCTGCCCACCGGCGCTGCGATCGTCGAGGGCTCGCGACAGACGGCATTACCGCGCCGATTTGGCCGGTGGCTTAAAGGCACGCCTTGCGCGGCACGGTACGGGACAGTGCGGCCGCATACAACGAGCTGACAGCCCGCACGGCAACCGCCGAGCACGCGAGGCGTGTTAAAGAGTGTCCTCCACACGGGCAGCGTAGGGGTGTTTGCTTCAAGCCCAGTTGAAGCAAATATGACTGGTTCAAGCCCAGTTGAAGCAAACATGACTGGTTCAAGCCCAGTTGAAGCAAACATGACCGGTTCAAGCCCAGTTGAAGCAAACATGACTGGTTCAAGCCCAGCTGAAGCAGTCATTTCCGACAAATATCAGCGCATGACCGTGCGAGTCAGACCAGCCACTGAGGCCGAGTTTCCAGGGCCGGCGAAGCGTGCGACCTATCCCGCAATGCCTGCTGATGTCGGAAACGCGAGCAGAGGCTACGAGAAGGGCTCTGACCGTGCAGAGGAGAAACGTCGTTATAGATGTCCACCTGCGAGGAAATATTGCATCCTGTCCCTGAGTGGTTCTCCCCAAATATCAATTTCCGTTGCAGGTGGCGAAAACTGCACTCAAACCGACATCGCCTATTTGTATCGCCGTTACAGTAGTGCCAGTGACAACGGTGCACCCAGCACCCAGGAATGCACGAAGGAGAGGACGGGGGGGGGGGGGGGGACGAACGCACCCTCGTTACTGAGGAATGGTTAGTTATTGCGCCTTGCTTGTAGATGGCTTGATGTAGAAGGCTTTCGGTGACATTGGCGCTTGCATAAGGTGGTAGGATGACTATAATATGCGCTTCAGGCGGGAGGTGGCACGGCTCTGAGACCCCTCGCCAGCACCCGTCGACGGCGTAAGAATCCCCCGCCTCCGGTGCGGTGTTCGCAGACGCCGTCCACGGCCGAATGTGGGCCCGCTCCTGCCCGACACACGGCGGCACCTGTCGGCTGTGACGCCGGCCCGGAACCCAAGGTCAGCCGGCCAACGGCGCGCGCGCCCGTTTTTATGGCGGCGCCTCGGCACGGATCCACGTGAGCGCCCGACCGAGCCGCGCCGGCTGAGAAAACGGCAACACCACGGTACAATAAGTCTATTTACGCCTATCACCTCGCTCAAACAACAAACCTTAAAAGCGAACGCGGAGCCTCCGAGACTGCGACGCGCGGGCGCTGCTCGGTCGGCGCCCTGGCGGCGCGGCCCTCCACAGTCGGCGCGTCAGCTGAGTATTCGAGCATGGCCATGCACGGGCTGCGCCGCGGCCCGCCGGCCACCGCAGGGGGGCGCTCTGGACGGCGGCGGCCGCCCGCCTCAGGTGGGAGTGCCGGGGTTCACCACAACATGGGACCGGACGCGCCGCAGATCACCGTCACGTGGCGACATGGCGTCTCAGGCCACGAGCGGTGCTCACACATGACGGGAGCGGGCGGAGCTTGCGTCGCCGCTCGATGGAAACGCACGCCCTCAGACAGCGCACCGGCCTCAGATCCCCACATGACGGGAACGCGGTGGTCTCAGGCCCCCACATGCCGAAAATGAGGTGGCCTCAGATCATCACAAGGGGAAACTTGTCAGCCTCACGGACGCGGCACACCGCAGTACATGGGGACGCCATGCACCGCTGGTGGATACCGACCAGCAATCTAACGTACAGTGAGAAAGCACTGGCTAGCAATAGACACAGGCATATTTGGACAGATTCGAGAGGTTATGCTATCATCGTATGTGAGCTGAATAACAAGACAATGCTCACTGAAAGAACACCTCACAAACCATCCAGGGCGTCATGATCGGATCTCAGAGCCCAGCATTCTCAAAAAGGAACTTTTAACGATGGGATTCGCACATCAGGCAGCACATTCACCGGCAATTGAACAACGCTACGTAAATTTAAAACACCGTCCGTGCCCGAAAGGCTAGGCAAGCACACCTGTAAACACTAGCCAGCGATCTACTAACTACAAGTTCCCATTCAAGATCACAGATGGCGGGACAGCCAACGAGCTTCTAGGTGCGTTCACACCGTGGAATGTCGGCGCGCGCGCCTAGATCCACCAGCCGATCCTTGTCCGTCGTAGACTCGTTCGACGCCGGCAGCGCACTAGGTTAAAAGAAAAGGAGGTGCGAACGCAAGCACGCAACACCAAAACGCACACTTCGGTCACGCTACACAACACATCATGGGAATGAACCTCCGTGCGGGGCCTGCTGAGAAGCACGCAACATCCGCGCCTTTGCCCCGCTGGCGAGTGGCCGCCACCCCTCTGGCGGCGGCAGCGCCCGGTGCGCTCCTGCGGCCCGCCGCCACCGCGTCCGCCGGCACACTCGCACCGGTCCTCACACCCGCGGCGCACGCGGCGCCGGCGGACCCCGGCGGCAGTCCCTTCTCACGCGCCGCGGTCCGAGGCCCCCCGCCGGCAGCCGGCGCCGTGCTCCGCGGCCGTCTTCGGCACCGGCGTCGTCCCTCGGGCGCGACCGGAGCTCGGTGCGGGTCAGGAGCCGGACAGGAGCCGCACCGCACGCCGAGAGCGGCGGGAGCCAGGACGGCTACGATAGCACGCAGGGCGACGAGCAGCAGCCGCGGGAACCCGCCTTGCTCTTCTGGTGCTCGTCTGTAAGGGAGCCAAGAGGTCAGCGGTGCCAGAGGAAAGCGGTGTCAGAGGTCAACGGTGTCAGAGGTCAGCGGTGTCAGAGGTCAGCGGTGTCAGACGTCAGAGGTGTCGGAGGTCAGCGGTGCCGGTGGCCAGCAGTCAGTGGTCAGTAGTGTCGGCGGCCAACAGTCAGTGATTAGCGGTGTCAGAGGTCAGCAGTATCAGTGGCCATCAGTGTCAGAGGTCAGCGGTGTCAGAGGTCAGCGGTGTCAGAGGTCAGAGGTGTCAGAGGTCAGCAGTATCAGTGGCCATCAGTGTCAGAGGTCAGCGTGTCAGAGGTCAGCAGTGTTCGTAGTCAGCCGTGTCAGAGGTCAGAGGTGCCAGATCTAAACAGAGTCGTGGTCAACAACACCGGAGGTCAGGCTAGCGGTGCCGAGAAGCCCAAGCAGTCGACAGTCCATCGGGTCGAGTTCAAGCTGTTTGGGAGTGCCTGGCTCACGGCGTCACAAGGCGACAGGCAGAACAGGTGTGACTAGTTCAATACGGAAAGCAGGCGCGCTGCCGGTTTGTCAGAGCTTCTCCGTCGTCAGGCGCATACGTTTCGAGGACGGCTACCCGCAGCGAGTACAAAATACAACAATCATTGGGTTGCCAAAAAGGGCGTGTATGCTCTGAGCAAAGGAAAGGCGAATCACGACTAACTGCTTCACGTTTCCAGCGCGGAAACTGCATGGCCACGTGATAGCGCAACCCCTGCCAATAATGGCTTAGGGCCAATAGCTGTCCCTCAAAAGTACGTTCCCTTTTCTGTCTGCGACATAAGACGGTACCATAGAAAATGCAGGTGTGATCTCAACCCTAATCACAAGTTTCAGTAAGGTCACACGGCACGTATTTGGGAACACTGGTCACACATGCCAGCCAAGGAATCGGTCAGTGCAGTTGCAATTCAACCATTCTTTCTAATTTTCCACGAATCGTTCATCAACAAACTACTAGATTCTGCACAAAAATGTTTAATAAGGGCTTAGTAGCAGGGTGCGATATTTTATAACAAATTTTACGAGATTAGGAACGACAATGCAACTACACAAGGGCAACATGAGCATGCCACGAATATTTCAGCATACCACAAATATACGACTATGCACATGAGCATGCCACAGAGCCTGAAAATCACAGCAGGGAAATATAAACCAAAGGCGAATAACTAACCTCCGACCAGACAATACATGTGTGATTAACTGTAAAAATGGACCTGAGCACGGCGCCAACCCATTGGCTTTGGGCGTGTAATTGCAAAGCTATTGGTGGTGCATATGCCATACTTCCTGCCCTACAGATCAATGCCACGACACGAGCGATGGAACCGGTTGCAGTCACAGCATGAACAGACAGTACTCGTGATTCATCCACTGCACTACTTCGGCTCCCCTTTGCAATCGATGGCGGGGAAAACATGTGGTTTAAAGCATATCTGAACGTGCATCTATTATACACAAGGCAGTACTTGTGACGCAGCCGCGAACGCAAGCGAAAACGTGATTAACACCCAATATTCTGCAGTATAACAATTTGAAAAGGCCAGTCCGCAAAGCCAGGGGGGGGGCGCAGGGGCGTGAATGGCGCTGAATGTCAGTTCACGCCCCGCGCGTGACCTGACATTCAGGTGAGGGTGACAGCGCGTGAACAGGCGCCGTCGCCGGTGACAGCGTTCGCTCCACACCGCGTCATCGAGCCGTTCTCCATGGGGCGCGCTCCGCGTCAATATTGCCGGCCGGTCACGGGAAACACCGGTCGATGGTCGTGCCTCGCGCTATTGCCTACAGCGACCCCGGCAGACACCGGCACGGCATAGCACGTACGCACGTACTCATACACATGCACACCCACACGCACGCATGCACGCACGCACGCACGCACGCACACCCACTCACACCCACAGACACGACCACCGCGATCATCCCATCCCACGTCCCGGACACAGTCGTGGATTGATCGCGACTCTGCACTCGGGCCCCGCGGAGCACACTTGGCTTATCCCCTGCCCGCCGCCCAGGTCGATACCCTTGTTCCACGGAGGCACGTAGTCACGCATTCTAATATTACTGCCCGCCGGCTCTACTTGGACGCGACGTCACTCTGGATAGTCCGGCGCCAGCGCCAGCACACCACTCACCCTGTGAATTGGGCTCGGGCAGACTCTCGCGCGGCACCAGGTGCATGACGGTGGTCTTGCCGAGCGGCAGGCCCAGCGCGGCCAGCGTCACGTTGTTGTGCAGGAAGCGGCCCTGGTAGATCAGCCGCAGCACCTCGGCCTGGCTCACCGCCTCCTCACTCCATTCTGCGGCGCGGCCCAGATGGGGTGAGCAAAAGGTCCGCTGCATCCAGCGGCAGGTCGAAAGTCAGCAGGTCTGCTGCACCCAGCGGCAGGTCAGCAGTCAACAGGTCCGCTGCACCCAGTGGCAGATCAGCAGTCAACAGGTCCGCTGCACCCAGCGGCAGGTGTCGGCAGTGATGCTGACCAAACACTCACGCAGCCGCTCACACGGCAAAATCATGGTCATGACCATGTGCTCTCCGAAAGTCTCAGCTACACATACGAAGCACCGTCGCCGAAAACAGAGAGGAAACGCACGCCTTGCAGCACAAGCCTTAACTGCCTTGGCTTCCTGCCTGCCCACAACTGGCCACAACACATACGGACATTGGAAGTGAACAGCAGTACAGGATGTTGTCAGGTGAGTATGTTACAAACCGCAGCTTTTATTTGGAGCGCTTCACACACACTCGCCAACCAGAAGTGTTCAAGATCATTCGGCAAAATACCCGCGTGCATTCCTGCACTAATCAGCGGGTCTTTGCCATGGGCGACAAACGACTATGCAGGTGGCGTCCCAGGAACACCGGCGCCGTTCGATACAGTGCACGCGCCACGATGATGATGATTGGTATGATGGAGCGCATCGGCTACTGAGGCCACTTTGCGGTCTCCTCACATTTTAATTACGCGGCGACTTGAGGGTGCTATTGCGGTGAGTATATCACGCGGATAAAACTCACAATAACTGCATCGACGTCCGGCATGCGACGGCACAAAGACCAGAGCCCGACAGCCGGGAGGCACATCAGGACAGTATGGGCGCAAGGTCCGGGACCTTCCACACGGCGGCGGCGGCACCGACACCGCACACTCCGCCCAGAGGCCTCACAAGGCCCCGGCACCTTCCACACTCCGCCCAGAGGCCTCACAAGGCCCCGGCACCTTCCACACTCCGCCCAGAGGCCTCACAAGGCCCCGGGACCTTCCACACGGCAGCGGCGGCACCGACAACGCACACTCCGCCCAGAGGCCTCGCAAGGCCCCGGCACCTTCCACACTCCACCCAGAGGCCTCACAAGGCCCCGGGACCTTCCACACGGCAGCGGCGGCACCGACACCGCACACTCCGCCCAGAGGCCTCACAAGGCCCCGGCACCTTCCACACTCCGCCCAGAGGTCTCACAGGCCGGTCTCTGCCAAAGCCTTCATTACCGTCCCGCTCCGTCTTGCACAATCACTGTCGGAGGCGCCCAATCACAGCCGCTTTCCGCCCACACAGCGCCGCAGCCCGCGCTCGGATCGTCACCGCCCACACGGCCGGCCCGGCTCGCCCACCGATATGGCGAAGCCGCGCGTGGCGGACAGGCCACGGCAGCTCAAACGCCGCCTAAACGCGCGTCTCTGCACGCGTGTGCGCGACACCGGTAAACAGCTATTCGCCCGGCGTTCAAGCCGCCACATTCACGTCACGAGCTTTGATGCATGACGCACCGAAGTGTGGGAGAAACTGGGTGACGCCCGCCCGGCCCGGCTGTTAGGCACGGGAGAGAAGGCGCGGTCGCGCAACGGCCGTTTTGTCGACACGCTTTGGTCCCACACTGTGAGCGGTGCTGCGCTCTGTTATTCACCAAGACAGCACCGATCTTGTGAAGACGACGGTGTTGTATAGGACACGCCACTGATTGTGGTGGGCCGGGAAGCACTCACGCAATGCGCCAGGCAGGAGACAAAGCAACGCACTCTTTTCTACTTGGAGTATGTATATATATATATATATATATATATATATATATATATATATATATATATATATATATAATGTAAATTCGTGAAGCCGGTAATGTATGAAACTGCGTAACGCCTGTTATGTAAGGCGTCGCGAGATTAAACTGCATACGCGTCTAAAATTTCGCCCTTCGGTTGACAAAATTGACATTAATCCGTCATTTATTTTCTTATGTATTCTTTGCAAAGCTCACAGGCGTACGGCAGACGCCGAAGTAGCACCATCCGGTGATCGTGATCCAGTCCGCGGGCTTAAGGTGAGCGAGCGAACACGCCACACCGGGCTAATAGTCTTAAACCGCGCTACAACTAAGAGGCACTAGCAATAATTTTTGGTATAGTTATTTTCCTTTTTTTGGTATAGCTCTTCTCCTACAATAAGATGATACGTCGAATAATCAGATAACAAACCACATGGGTCGTCGCCTTCTTCAGCTACAGCCTGGCAATTAACCTACAGCCTGGCAATTAAGCGACAGCCTGGCAATCAAAACATGCGTCCCCCACAATCGTTCACTAACCGAGGAACCGACGAACGGGCGCTCGCGGCGTCACAAGACTACCGTCCCACGGAGGCAAATAACCTGTCATGCCGGGGTGGAACGCTTACTGTTGTTCGTGCAAGACACAGCCAGGAGCACTTCTCTTGGAATGACTGCCCATTGGTAGCTGAAGCGAAGGTGGGATGCAATCATAACAATGCATTGACAGTCGGCCACTCCCCTTTTTCGAAATACAAGAAGTAAGATAATAGTAACTACAATAACATCTTTAGTATGAAATAGTTGAATAACTGGATGAGCATATGTGTCTCGTCCATTTGCCTTTCCATTTTTGTACCAACTGTTACGAGACAAGCTTGTGGCCGAAACATCCCTGTATAGCTATTTCCTCCCCCTTTTCGACTAGCACCGAAGAATAAGGTCAACAGATGTGCTCTTATGCACATGCCATGTTCAACGCAGGTACACTGAACAGCTTAAGATATAGTCAGTACGTATGACAAGTTAATGTCAAATCCCGCCAAGTCGGGGCCAATGGCGTATTGTCCATTTACTAAATACCTAGTGGATCAACTTTAAAAAAGTACTTCGATCCATTGCGCCCTTTTAGGCGTTGGCGCACCTTTTGAAACGCGGAGCACGATACACGCAGAGCGTGTGTGCCTCGGGCTATTTTTTGCGCTGCTTCCTGTAAGTTACTGGAGACCAGGTCCCCCACCTCGCTCTCAGTGAACAATGTCGACGCCGCCGATGCCTGTATTGGCGGCAGCGGTGTTTACTGCCGATGCTATTCTTGGAAAGGGTTCGTCCAGGGCGGACAGCACACTCGGCTCCCGACAGCGCTCCCCTCCACCCCACGCTTGGCCCCACCGTGCCACACATTTACCCGCCGGCCGCAGGCTGCCGACGCCAAATTCCAAACCTAGAAGACGGTCGCAACGAGCAGGCATCCAGAATGTTCTCGAAACGTCAGTTTTTCACGGAAACGTTTTGCTTGCTCCTCGCCTCCCGACTCCGCCCCTGCGGAAACTTAATTTCAAAAGTCGTAAACTGAAAACACTATCGATGAGACTATTCACGGGCCGATCCGTCAATTACATCCAAACACAACACTACATTCAAACTCAAAGGTTCCGTGTCCCCAAAATGTCTTCTCATCATAGATCCAGGCACCGGTGTACGCTCGTGAATGGAGTTATGCCACCATGGTTTGAACGCGGCGCACACGCCCCGTCGGGCCAATGGCCTGACTAATAGGGGACCCCATAAGAAATCCAACCGGCCTCACTGGCCTTCACTTCCACCTCGCCGTCAAGTTACAACCAACCGCGGTCACTGTCCACGTTGACAACCGAGCCCAGCGCCAGCCCCCCCCCCCCCCGCGCAGTAGCTACCCGTGCACCGTGCATTGGGCGAATGGTTGGCACCTTGGACTCCCACGTGGGGAGCTCGGGCCCGTATCCTGGCTGCGCCATGGCCCATGGGTGCTACTATGGCCAACGCAGTCGCTGGCGCTCCCAAAAAGGGGTGTCCGACGCGGGTTGCGCTTCTCCAGTCGCACTCCGTGCGCTGACCACGCCACCAGTCCCTGTCGCCACTCGCCCATTCACCGCATTTACCAGCCAAGTCGGGTCCAATGGAGCATTGTCCATTTACTAAATACCTAGTGGACAAACTTTAAAAAGTACTTCAACCTATTGCGCCCCTTTACGCGCTGGCGCACCTTTTGAAACGCGGAGCACGATACACGCAGAGCGTGTGTGCTCCAGCCTATTTTGTGCACTGCTGCCCATAAGTTACTGGAGACCAGGTCCCCTAGCTCGCTCCCAGTGAACAATGTCGACGCCGCCGATGCCTGTATTGGCGGCAGCGGTGTTTACTACCGATGCTATTCTTGGAAAGGGTTCGTCCAGGGCGGACAGCACACTCGGCTCCCGACAGCGCTCCCCTCCACCCCGCACTTGGCCCCACTGTGCCACACATTCACCCGCCGACCGCGGGCTGCCGACGCCGACGCTGTCGCCACTTCCCCACACCCAGTGACCGCCCGCCCAGTCCGCGCCACCACCCACCGGCGCTGACCTTCTCCACGCGCTGGCCGCCGCCGGACGGCCGACACTCACCCTCGGGCCACGTGTCGAACACGAACTGTGCGATGTCGCCGGCCGAGTCCGAGCTGTCGAACAGGTACTCCCGGCTCTGGCCGCTCACCAGGATCAGCCGCAGGTTGATCTGCAACGCCACGCGCGCAGCGGGCTCAGCCTCGCACACGCTCGGGGAGGGCTATCTCAGTGGACGGGAGCGTCGCCGGCGACGGTGGGGAAGCCAGGAGTCACGTGGAAGGGAGTGGAGACTGAGCAGTCCCACAGGTGGCATGCCCGGTATAACGCCCATAGCGCGATCGTGGGTACGTCGGATGTGATGAGACGTTGGCAGTCTATAGATAGGGCAGTTGCTTCTAGGGAAAACGGGCGCTTTGTACAGCTGCATCGATTTCGCTGCAGCAGGGGAGATGCATTGGTAGAGCACTGGCGTCCACGAATAGATCTCAGTCGTCAGCTGACACTGATTGCGAAAGCGAGGACGAGGGAAAAGCGAGTTGCACTTCACGATTGAAATTTCCAATTCGCAGTGGCCCCGCTCCTAGTGTACATCACTTTCTACTCAAAGGTAATCAATATCGACGTTTTCCCGCACCATCCTACGCTTTGTCCACAAAAACTTACGAAACCCATCCCCACAGACTGCCATGTCCACACAGGCCGCGGGACAAAACGTCGCACCGCCCGGGGAGCGAGACAGCCGCCCAGATCCGCCAGCCCCGCAGTGCGCGGGCCTCACCTTGTCCGCCGGCACGTGTTTGTTGCGCGCGGCCACGGCCCGCGACATGACGTCCAGCGGGACCCGGGCCGGGCCCGGCGCGTCACCGGCCGCCGTGTTCTCGGCGCTGCCGCTCCCCGGCCGACTCCGCCTCCCGGCCGGAGCGTGTGCAGCGGGCGGCCGCCTGGACCCCACGCCGGCGCGCCGGCGGCTCGGGCCGCTGCTCGCGTCGCCGCGCCGCCCGTCGACGGCGGCGTACAGTCGGTGGCGTCCCGCTCCGACGCGCACGCCTCACATGGCGTGAGTCACCGGCGGCGGCGGCACCTGCGGCACGACACGCGTCACACGCGAACCGCCGCCACCGCCCGCTCGACGGCGCCGCGACACGGCCGCACGCCGACGGCAGGGCGGCTGCCGCCGTAGGCCGGGACCCGCCGCCGCCCGCCGCCGCGGGCCGGGACCCGCCGCCGCCCGCCGCCCCGGGCCGGGACCCGCCGCCGCCCGCCGCCCCGGGCCGGGACCCGTCGCCGCGGCGCCCCGGCGGACGTCGTCGGGACTGTTGGGAGAACTTAGGTATCTGTTGGTCTTCTAAACATAACATCAGTCGTGAGCGCGTACTTGCGGCTGAGCGAAGCAGACAGGAACTAAAGTCTGAAGAATGGAAAGTTGAAAGTAGTGCTGGCTATGATTTAGGTATGGGATGTTGACCTGTGACAGATGACATACCAAACCGAAGTCTCTTTCCATATGTACTGTGGGAAAATTTAAAGTAGACAGTTTAATTCAACTGACAACAGCACACAAAATGAATTTTCGAAAACAGTGGCCCTGTTCTATACATTATCTATGATGAGTGAAGACAACATTTTATCCTGTGACCTGAGTGGTGAGCTTCAGGTCTAAGGATTTCTTATGGAACCAGTGATGCTGTCTAAAGCAACATTTCATATGTTATGCAGAGTAGCCTTGAATAAATTTCACATGGCATACTAAATACTTTTGTCTAATTTGAACTCAAATGCACTAATGAGCCACAAAGTTAAAGGAGTGCTGCTCCAGTGCATCCAAGATCATACTGTTTCATATGAATTTCATTTCAATATTTACTTGCTGACAGAGTTATTCCTGAGGCCTGCTAGTGCTCAATACTTTCTTAAGTTATTGTCCAACTGATAAAACACCATCTTAAGTGTAATATTCCACTTTCTAATGGTTTGTTTTCTCTGAAGTTTCTAAGCCCACTGAGCTTTCTCAACTGTGCATCAGACCAAAGGGACTCATCAAAAGTCAACATCAGGCAACAGCTGCAGCAGTTGCTTTCAAATCTAGAACACATTTGCAGGTAAGGGACCATTATGTCCATTATCAAGCTTTTGTGATGGCATCTCCCTGATGGTTTCCAGGTCTGTATTTGGTTCAATAATCACTTTTGCACAATTCTTTTGCACAGATATCAGCCTCCTTCTTCCATTTACTTTTTTTCTGCTTTAAAATTGTGCTGCATCCTATTGGATCACATATACATCCAAGCCCCAACCACTGTTCTGTTTTTTGTGGCACCAAATCTTGTGGCATTCATATCTGGAACACAAATCAAGGGGAAGGGATATCAAGACAAGCAGGATGATCCCTTGCCCATATCATAGGAATCTTATCACTTCTCAGCATATTGGCTATTATTCCTTAATCCCTGGATGCATACACCATGAACATGATGAAAGCTGGTGTGGCACAACTACCAAAACAGCTATTATTATACATAAAGTTAAAACACAACCATTAGTGGAAGTTCATATGCCTGTTGCCCCTCTCATTTCCCACATATGGTACATGCTTGTAAATAAAGCTAGAAATATAGGCTTGTAGAAACTTAGTGTGACATAACAAAAAGGTTGGTACATTAAAGATGCCAAAAACCACTAATTTAGCTAGATAGTTTGATGGTGCTACATTTTTCAGTTTTCACAAATCTGAACACAATGTCAAAATTGTTGGATCTCTAGCATTTAATGGAACCATGTGCATGGTGACAAAGAAATGGAAAAGGAAATTGGCAGACATTTATAGATCAATATTTACTACTGTGGGTCAAACACTAGACTCCCAATATCCTTACAAACTAGACCATACCAGACTGTACATTTGAAGCTTAAATATACCTGAGATTATCCTCATCATTAAGCATAGCAGAAAAATGAGGCCAAATAAATCAGAAAGGTATAAAGAAATATGTTTGAGCATCATAATGCACACAAAAAATAGATGGCATAACCTTCACAACAGTGGCAGAGGCATTGCATGAAACTATCCATCACTAAGTCTTTTTGGGTCTCAAGATAATCATAATATGCTATATTATATATATATATATATATATATATATATATATATATATATTACAATGATTGATTACTAACAACATGATCATGGCATTCTTGGAGGTAAGTGGAATGATACTGATACCATAATTTAGTTATTGACATTCATGCATGACACATCTTTTAACTCCTTTTATTTTGAGCTATATGACTTTGAAATGATGATTTGAGCTGACATAGTATATTTGAATTTTAGTAAGGGTTTGCTAATGTTTAGACATAATACAGCAGAGATTGGGGGAATGGAATGATTTTAAAATATACAAAAGGCTGAACAGTTAAAAAAAACTTGTAAAAGCTTTTCTAAGAAACTTACCCACAGGCACTTAGTTAATTATTTTAAGACAATCTGGATATCAAAATAGTGCAGATAATTACTCCCTGAAAATGGAAATATCCTATTAATCCTTAAAGATGCAGGGAGCTAGCAAAACATAAATACAGGGATGTTTATGTACCTGTAACCTTACTCGTTTCCCAAACATGCTACATGCTTGTACAGAGAGGAGGACGGGGGAAAGCAGAACATAAATACTCTTGCATCTCCTTGTTACACTTTGCTTTATGTCTGTATGAAGCAAATCAATCATTGACCAATAAATAATGTTTCTCCATCCACATGTGCATGAGACAAGCACACAAAACAACCTTTAACACTAAAGTGCAGTTAAATGCACTTCATTTGTGGATGCTTAGATGGCAAAGAGCTATCATGATACACGGTGGTTGAAACTCATTGGGAGGAACGTTCGGAGGCCTTTTGCTTATTCTGAAAGGGCACACAATCATCACTTTTGTAACACTCAACAACGGCTTCCCGCCAAGTACTATTATCTTTACATACAATTAAAAAAATGCTAGCCCTGGATTTGATCCGTTAAAAAGTAAATACGCAACTGCATAAAAGCACGCAGCGCCTGCGTATCGGTTTCTCAATTACCGACTCCAGATGCTGCACCCAACCCCGCCGTCCACCAGCGTCGACTGACACTGATAACATTGATGACAGACGGTGGATACATCTATGAGAAACATGATACAAATGCGCCAGTTCTTTACAACAGCTGGCGCAGCTATTTCAGCTGGCTAAATACCAAATCCTAACGCAATGTTCGCATTCAATGCTTGACGTCATCAATAACAGATTGACAACAAATACAAAAGGGCTCCCCAGCAGCCCCTCTGTGTGACTCTGCACACCCACACCATACGAACCACACGACCTCCAATAATTCAAAAGGGAGGGAACAATGGGTGTCTTAATTTCGTACCTTGCATTGTCTTGGTACCAGAACCAAGGGCATAGCGACCAGGAGAGGCTGAATTGGGCCAAGGATGCCATTCCAGCCAAGGCCATGTCTTTCCTGTCAACGCCCATAGGGCAGAACCAGGGTTAAAGACTCCTGAACCTCTGTTTTTTTATATTTTTTGATCAGCAATTATTTGCGACCCATGTAATGACAAACAATAGGGCGTTTCTGCAAAAACAGTTACATAACGTAGGCTGCCCTAACATCTATTTTTTGAGAACTGGAAAGTTTGTGAAGTGATTCAAACCTCATGGATGGAGACAACTTTACGTTTCACTTAATTATTGCGTGCTGTAAAGAAATTTGGGTGGGGACGGAGCTCCGCGCAAGCCAATTTGTCACTGCCTTGTGATTGGTGCATTTCACACTTCAGCATTAAGGACAGCTGACTCAAGACACCATGTTGGAAGTGAAAGGCCAGCCTTGGGCGCTCCAGTACAAAGGCGATTCAAATCTGGCACTAGGGCGTTGGCGCAGCGTTTGGTGGTGTTGGTTGTGCGACTTGGGACCGTTTAGTGTTTTACATTGTTAACCAACATGACGACGACAGAACTGACAATCGGTTTGGGTGGTTCTGAACGAATCTCTAGCAGGTTGGTAGTTTTCGCGTTGTGTGACAGTCAGAGTTCGTAAGTTTTTCAGTTGTCTTCAGTCTTATTGCTATCATGCCATTTTATTTTCAGTCAACATTGACATGCTCATGTTGGGTCACTAAATCGGAAAAATTCAGCATGTTTTTTGGTGGCTCAAGCCTTGTCTGCAAACTAGGCCCAGTTGGCAAATAATCCATTCACTGTTAGGATGAGTTGGCGTTTGAGTTTTTTTTTGTGTGGCAGCTTGGTTTGGACATCATCTTTAGGAGATGGGAAGCCCCAGATTGAATGCAGAGTACTTTTAAGATGCAATGATGTTTACCTTGCCAGAAATAAAATGTTGACCTGTCAGCAAATGATGGCAGATCAGTTGACATGTTGCTTGGGTAGTTTCAATCCTGCCCTAAGTAAGAATTTGACCTGTCAAGCCATTTTCAGCTGTGTAGGGTCTTGTTGATTTTCCTCATAATCTTATTAACAGTCATTGATTACTCATACTGCTCTGCTTTTGGTGGGCTAGAATTACACAAAACTTTTCCCAAAGATTTCCATTGCACCTTTGCATCACTAAAGCTAGAACATTTAGAAATGCATCAAACATTTTACAGCTCAAACTTTAAAGTTTCAAATCCTCTGCACTTACACTGTCCTTTATGGCATGTTTTTTGCAGCTGGGTTACCCATTCAGCACAGACACAGCAGGTGGCACCAGCAAAATGTGTAGTGCTCTTGAAATCTTTGTCATTGTACAGGGGCTCTAATTTAGTTGATCGATGTATGGAGACAAGGGTGTTGCCCAAGCGGTCACCCCAGGGGCAGAGAGGATGATATGGCATTTGTTTGATTTTGGTTTGATTCAGGTCTTCCCTTTTCTGCACTTCTTGAGTCTCATGACATCCAGGTTGTGCCAACAATGCTCTTTGTGATTAATGAGCAACAACTGGTATTAACCATGTAATGCTATAATCAGGAAAAGGTATTATGGTGGGCATTGGCACTTGTATCATGCATATCCATGCTGTATTACTCGGACTTGTCATCAATATGTGGTGACATGGGAGGGAATAGTAATGCCTGAAGTACAAATGCAAGCTTTTTTCTATTTCTTGTCATCTGTTTTTGTTTTTTAAATTTTTCAAAGTGACACCTAATGCAATGTTGAGGCACTTAATGCCAGCAGAGTTCATTAGCTTTACAGATGTGTTGTTTTATTAAGAACATTGCATTGCAGGGGTCACGGTTAAGGCACTAGCTGCATTCGATACCCACAGCACCTCTGGCACGGAAAACATGTGGGACACGCAGTGTCACTCAGTCGCTGAGATGGGCACAGAATGCATACAGCCAAATATTAGTGGTGGCACATTTTATGAGATCTAAATCAGATCAAAATTGATAAGTCAAGTGAAAAAACTGCTACTTTGTTGTGTAAGACTTGTGTGCCTCTGTGTGCACGAGATGCCTCCAGGCATGCTCCATGGTTGAGTCATATATGCTTTTCACACAGTGGATGACCCAGCATCATACAGCAAGTTTGTATGGAATTAGAATGTTGTGTGCACAAAAATAGATTTGCATAGACAGTGTTTAGTGTTCAATGCAAAGTACATCCTCAGCCATCCAGATGTCACATCACTGGGTTCAGCACTCATGCCCCTGACCCAAGCATACATATATGTCCTTATCAAACTGGTCCAGCGACCACGCCCATCGCGTGCATCAGCAGTCCACCTACCGACCAAAAAAGGCGGGCATACTGACCGTTGCGTGCGCATGCCACAGGGTGCTGAAGCCCCCCGGCGGTGGCTCGTCCAACATTTTCGGCCCGCCGGATGACGCCCCAGTGCCGTCCCGGCCGCGCCACTCCGCCTCGAGCGCGTCCATCGGCGACGCGCCGGCCGCCGAGTCGGCGCCCCCGGCCGAAGGTCAGCGCCGTGGCCCCCGGCCAAGCACGCGCCGGCCGCCAGCGGGGGCAGGGGTTGGCCCGCGCGAGCCGCGCTGTGAACGCGGCCGCGCTGTTGGGTTTTGCGTGCTGATTTAGCCCGTTGCTATTTGTCAGCGTCTCTGCTTCTGCGGGTTTCGCGGGAGGACTGGCTTTAGTATGGCCTTGGCGATGCGATGATGGCTTCGCTCTGTAAACAAACTCGGTAAACAAACAATCATCATTACCAGTGAACGGGGTGCCTGGAAGGGCAGCTCCTGGAAGTACCCTGCTTTTCTTGGCACTCGCGATGAGGCTGCCCTGATGCATCTGATAATGGGATGAGTGGTATGCGTATGCGTATCAGGCTTTTGGTGAGATTTCTGTGGAACCTGACATCAGAGTATGTCAGTATCGTTAGTGCCAAATCCAAGCAAACTACCAGCAGGCCTCACTCGGCCCACTTCACTCGGACACGACCATCGCCGCGTCATTCGAGCCTCGCCGCACGCCTGCCGCGGCGAATGTCACCCCGTCATCGTGCTCTCACTCGCGTCCGCAGAGCCGGCCGACCCTGCGGCGCAGGAGGACGACGCCGACACCGACGAGACCGAGGCTGGTGCCGACGACTCGGAGAACTGCGAGGACGGCGGCGTGGACCCCGCCTCGGCCGGCGACGGCGCCGAGCCGGCCGCGACGCCGCCGGCCGAGAAGCCGGAGCCGGCGCCGGCGCCGGCGCGCGGCCGCGTGCCACCCGGCGGCTTCTCCACGCCGCTCTGGTGAGCGCCGCCGCCGCCGCCGCTGCCGCCCGATCCACTGCTACACATGCCTTTCAGTGTGCCGATCTCGCCGCTCGCCGGCCGCCGGCGGCCGTGCAGCTAGCTGTAGACGTGGAGTGGCGCTTGCCGGACACCGCTCGCGGGGCTGGGGCGCCCTCGAGGCCAGCCCGGCGCATGCGGTATGACATTCCTTCTTCTTCAATACAGATCTGTTCGCGATCCGCTGTTTTGTTCACGCTGAGCGGCTGGCATCAGCTGCTGGTGCGTGTGGTGTGAGGACTGGGCGAAAAGGCCGAGTCCTAACGATGAGCGCGACGTCAATGCGGCAATCTTGCTTCAAGGCTTTAGAATCTCTGATCGGGTATTGGTGTGCCGCGTCGCCCCTGCGGACTTCATGGATATTCACCTATTAATGATCGGTGATATGCGGCTTCATTGCATGGTCTAATATGCAATACGATCCTGTATTATTCACTGCGGGGCGAGTCTTCCCGCATCAGCGGCACGGCTGCTCGCAGGGCATGCCCGTGCCGTCCGGAGCGAAGCCGCGGTCGCGGACTGGACCTGAAACGGGCTGCTTCTGATGCGTGACCAAACCAGGCATGAGCGGGTTTTTATCCCCGTTAGTACCAGCAGGCGATGCCGCCGCCCCCGGCGCGGGCTCGCGCGGCCCGATGTACGGGGTGAGTCACAGGTGCTCGGGCGGCAGCGGACGCGGTGATAAATGTGCGGTAATCTGGCGGTCGGTCTGCCAACACTCGCCGCTAATGCCGTCTGATCGTCTGCACCGAGCCGGTAAGCCGTAGCGCTGTGATAGATTTATCAACTGGTGACCGCTGGGTCGTGCAGTCGGGACCCGATGCGCTCCCTGCGTGGTTGTGGGAACGGGGGTCTCGGTGCCATGACGCTTTCATTTTCCCGCGACTGCTGTTCATTGAAGCTATGGCGACCCATGGAAAGAATCTGCAAAAAATGGGTATTATACCCGCCCATTATGCGACATTCCTTCAACTGGGACTCCATGTCTCGGTAGATGCGATTTGGTTGGGGATAGTGACGATATTGAGCAAAGCAGCTTTATGTATCGCCTGATGTCCCGAGGTGGTCACATGCATTGCGCTGGAGTCTGTGAATGTGAATTCGTCAATATTGGCCGCCGAGAAGGCCGTCGAAGGCCAATATTGGCGGATCCACATAAGTCACAAGTAGTATCCGGTTTTTGTTTTCTATGCGCGCCCTGCGTCGATGTAAAACAGGTCTGTTGGTTAAGTTTGTCACTGTCTTATCCCATGCCAAAGTGCTTCTCCATATTGGCATCACAATATGCATTTACCTGATATGATTAGCAGGATATCGTGGTTGCTCCCTTTTGAAGCGAAGGTAGACTATTTTCGATGCAATCCGTGGTTTGGTGTAAAGACGCCGGGCTCATTATCCAGCGGCGTGAGGTGCGTGCCGTTGCCGCTAACAATTTTTTCATGTTAGTCATTTTTCCATGGTATATTTGTCTCAGGTGGCAAGAAAAGGTCAGTCGGTGCTCAACTCTGGCTCGGGGAGATCGTGCCCCAACATTGGGCGATTTGTCCAGTCTTCCACCGCCCTGTCCGGCAAAGGGGCGGAGCAAACACGGTATGTCGAAGTGAAACGCATAACTTCGGCGATGAACCTTATGTGTCTTACATAGTTGTACATAGTGCTTGCTGTGATGGCTTGTGCGGAGCACGCACAGTCAGATGCCAGGATGCGAATGGAGCGACATCTATCCCAGCTTCTGGGTATAGGTGGCGGTACTGTGCCCGGGGTTATGTCACGTCGCTTTTTTCATCCTGATAGATGATCGAAATCTGCATCACGATTGGCGTTGGTCCCTTAGCATGAAGTCCGGCGAACAAGACCTGGAATTACTTTCATTTACAATAGTGAAAATGTTTTCTAAAATTTCTAACAGTCTACTCCGACCTATCTCCAGGCGCCCGCTGGTGCGTCACGTGTTGAACTCTGTTTGGCTGATAACCCCGTAAAGCCCGGGACATGCGCGTGTTGGCCGAAACGTTGCACCGTGATAACCTCACGCCCGTCCGTCTCTGGGGAGCCTTATCGCAGCTGTATCCCGCGATCACCGATAGCGGTGTGGGCGCGCCCGCCGCCGCGGCCGGTATCTGTCGAGGGTCGGCGGGGACTCGATCTGGGGAGGTCGAGCGGCATGACGTTCGAGCCGCGCCGACGGAGCCGAGGGAGGGAGCACCGCCGCGTCCCATGAGCTTCGCCGGCGTCCAACAGGGATCTTCTGGTCAAACGCACTGATATGGCGGCCATGGCGGCCACCCCACGCCGCTTCTATGACAACCGAGAGACACTTCTATGCATTTAATGCCCCCCCCCCCCCCTAAATCAGTCGTTGCCCGTTGGAAGGGCGTATAATCTCGGGATCCCGGGATTGAAATACTCCCGAATTCCAATTAACCCGGGATTAGTAGCGATCGGGATTTAGGGACCCCCACTTAGTCTTTCCCATACTAAAGCATTCTTTAGAAGGCGTCGCTGATAGTTGTAGAAAACGGCTATGAACATTACTATGTTTATGCGTAGAAATTAAGACATGGTGTGGTCTCAGTCCAAAAATCGTATTGCACGTTGCGATATCTCGTACAGCCAGGTGCATCCTACAAACACGAGCTGTGCTGGGCATCGTTTCACACCGTGTCATGCTCTGAACTCCAGCTCGTTTCTGGCGCGCCGTCTCCTCGCGCAGGCTTTACAACAGGTCATATTCCCCGGGGGTACAGACTATCGAGTCTGAGCAGGTCAGGCGTCGTATGTGTGGACGAGCATGTTCTGGTGTACAGTTACAGGTTGTACCTTGTGGCTGAGTGAACCACGAGGCGAGCCGGGCGCCCTGGGGCATCCTTAGTGAATGGTATGCATTTTAAAGAAGCCAACGCTGCTAAACATGTCTGATTTTATGGAATTTAAAGAAAGCGCAGCGTGAGGTACTTCTGAGACACACCGCAAAGTGTCGTCTCTGAAAAAAAAAACGCTGAGAATATCCAGATGGTACACAAATTCTTACCGCAAGAGTAAGCATGGTGGTATTGGTGCTGCTGTGCCATCCCGATCCAGGGAGACACCTCAGGACGAGTCCGGTGAAAGTCATGGTGAGGGCTCCAGGCGCGGGGCACTGCCTCTGAAAGGAATTAGGACCTTGGATTTTCACTACCTACAGAAAATGAACGACGATCTGGATGCTATCCTAGCAAGAATGTGCGCGAGATGAGGTATTTTAGGATAATCCTGCAATTGTCGGTGTCTTTATGAAATTACCGCTCATTTCCGGGAGTCGGGATATCCCAGAATACAACCTCACAAAATCTCGGGGTCCCGAGATTGGTAAAAGTTCTGTAGTTACCAGCACTTCCTGTTGGTGAGGTTGTGTCAGTTTTGAATCAGTTCAATCAATCAGAAACCAGAAATCAGTTTTGTGTCGATTATGTGGAATGTTAAGGCGTACTCTCCCAGCTCTTATGGCATCTTTCATTCTACTTTTGCAGGATTTTTTATGTCTTGACATTTTGGTTTGGAGGTTTGTGCAATACCTTCGTTTACTCTTTCAAGGAATGCTGTTACCGCCTCCCGGTATTTTTATCTGTGCAGTGTTTCAGTAAATGAAATGGTAAGCGCACACGTGGCAATTTCAGGCTAAGAAACTCGTCGGAATTGGAAAAGTCCTCTAAGAGTGGTGGAACGTCTTTGGTACAAGCGGGGTCATTCGAATAGGCACGTGCTGGTCCACCCTGCAGTCAGTATAGACACCACGTGCGTTTTTAAACAGAGCCTCAAAGTGGCAAGTAAATCGTCGTCTGAAAATAGACGACCGTGCCTAGATGGCTCTGGCCTCTGAAGCCGTTGGGAGGCGAGCCCCCAGGGGCGCGTCCAGAGGGCGACCAAGACGCACAACAAGGCCGCCCGACACCGATACCGCACCCGAGCCGCCTGTTTTCCCGTTTTCGGCCCTTTTGCGTCCCTCCCTCCCCGATCACCACCCGTCCGGAGCGTCCCCCAGCTGCAACCCCCTCCCCCCGCCCCTGGTGCCCGCAGGCTAGACGCCCCGACACCCCCTGATGTCGCGCTGCCAGCGCTGTGACGTCACAGCTAGCTGCCGGCGGTGGCGGCGTTGCCAGCCGGTCACTCGCTCCGGATATAGCCAGCCGGTCGGTGGCAAGCAACGAAGGGTTGGCGACGGCTTTAGTGGGTGGCGGGACCGGCGGGCTGAGATGGTGGGTACGCGGCACGCGACCTCGGCGTCGGTCAGGTCGCCACGGACGGTGCGCGGTGGCGACGCTGAAGTAAACAGCGCCGGCCGCGATAATAAACCGCCAAACCGGCATGTAGGCGCTGTGAAAGTAGGTCATGTCACGAAATTGAGGCCGAAGAGATTGTCAGCTGCTTTTCATATCGGCGTCTGCGGTATCATCTGCAAAGAAAGCACGGATCGCTCTCGAAAAGTGAGGTGTGGGGGGGGGGCGAGGGGCGGGGATCTGGAAATTCTGGGCCATTGGGCCCGCTCCGGCATAAAAGCCCCTCAATTCAGAACATTGTGTGCACAGAACAGAACACAGTGCACATTCGAACACATTTAGAACACATCCGTATCAATTCTGAGCAATTTAGAACATTTAGGAAATAGCCGGAACACCTCGGCTCGAGGCTGCCTCGTCCCTTTGATGACGACAATGACGGCTGTGACGATGACGATTTTTTTAAAAGGTATAACTTTTGTATACAAACTATGCAAACAGAGAGAAGTCGCCAGTTTTCATTAAATTTCAACAGATAGTTAGAAACCCGTTACACATTTTGATGAGCCGGTGAGCCAAGGAGCGAACTTTCGACTTGCCATAGTTCAATCAATGACCTGAGCTCCTCGATGACCCGTGTTTCCGCCAATTTAGGACGGTGGGCCAGATTGTCTTATTTGACAATTATCGACCTTCAGTATACCAGATGGTTCTGGTTAAACCACGTCATCAAGAATGCATTGACTATTTTTCGTTAAAGAACTCGACATCTAGAAGCTGAGCTAATGACCGTGTTACCAATATGACCCAACCGAACTATCATCGATCGCGTCCGATTCTATCACTGTTAATGCAGAAGTTCAACATGTTCCTCGTTCGTAGTCTAGGCACGCAATTTTGTCGTTCCCAGAGGGTTTTCTTTTC